TGCTGGGCTAAGAGTATAGCTGGAAAGATTAACAATATTGCTGGGTGGGTTCAGGGAACTACTGTTGTGGCTGCTTGTGGCATGTAGCCGGTTTGATAGTTTAGGGCCTTTTTCCTTTGTAGAGAAGCAAAGTTTGTGTTGTAAATGGCTTGTCTAGTTTTTGTAAAGTCTATCCATGAGGAAGTTTGTGTGGAAGGTTGTTTTTTCATGAGAGTATCCAGTTCTGAGAGCTCAGTCTTAATTTTTCCCTGTTTGCTGTATAGGATGCTGATCAGATGGTTTCGCAGTTTCTTTGAGAGTGTGTGACACAGTCTCTCAGCATAGTCTGTGTGATATGTAGATTGTAATGGATTTTTTACCTTTAGTCCTTTTGGTATGATGTCCATCTGTTTGCATTTGGAAAGGAAGATGATGTCTGTCTGTATCTGTGTGAGTTTTTTCATGAAGTTGATGGATTTCCTCTCCATACGGCTAAATGCAGTGCCTTGCATAATGACAGGTTTCAGAGTAGCAGCTATGTTAGTCTGTATCCGCAAAAAGAACAGGGGTACTTGTGGCACCTTAGAGACTAACAAATTTATTTGAGCATAAGCTTTCGTGGGCTACAGCCCACTTCATCAGATGCATGGCCCCACAGTATGCCAACATTTTTATGGCTGACTTAGAACAACACTTCCTTAGCTCTCATTCCCTAACGCCCCTACTCTACTTGCCCTACATTGATGACATCTTCATCATCTGGACCCATGGAAAAGAAGCCCTTGAGGAATTCCACCATGATTTCAATAATTTCCATCCCACCATCAACCTCAGCCTAGATCAATCCACACAAGTGGTTCATTTCCTGGACACTACTGTGCTAATAAGCGAAGGTCACATAAATACCACCCTATACCGGAAACCTACTGACCGCTATATTTACCTACATGCCTCCAGCTTCCATCCAGGACACACCACACGATCCATTGTCTACAGCCAAGCTCTAAGATACAACCGCATTTGCTCCAATCCCTCAGACAGAGACAAGCACCTACAAGATCTCTATCAAGCATTCTTAAACCTACAATACCCACCTGCTGAAGTGAAAAAACAGATTGACAGAGCCAGACGAGTACCCAGAAGTCACCTCTTACAAGACAGGCCCAACAAAGAAAACAACAGAACACCACTAGCCGTCACCTTCAGCCCCCAACTAAAACCTGTCCAGCACATCATCAAAGATCTACAACCTATCCTGAAAGATGATCCTTCACTCTCACAGATCTTGGAAGACAGACCTGCCCTCACTTACAGACAACCCCCCAACCTGAAGCAAATACTCACCAGCAACCACACACCACTGAACAAAAACACTGACCCAGGAACCTATCCTTACAACAAAGCCCGATGCCAACTCTGTCCACATATCTATTCAAGTGACACCATCATAGGACCTAATCACATCAGCCATACCATCAGGGGCTCATTCATCTAGACATCTACCAATGTGATATATGCCATCATGTGCCAGCAATGCCCCTCTGCCATGTACATTGGCCAAACCGGACAGTCTCTACGCCAAACAATTAATGGACACAAATCTGACATCAGGAATCATAACATTCAAAAACCAGTAGGAGAACACTTTAACCTGTCTGGTCACTCAATAACAGACCTGAGGGTGGTAATTTTGCTACAGAAAGGCTTCAAAGACAGACTCCAATGAGAAACTGATGAATTTGAATTGATATGCAAACCAGATACAATCAACTTAGGCTTGAATAGAGACCGGGAATGGCTGAGCCATTACAAACATTGAATCTATCTCCCCATGTAAGTATTCTCACACTTCTTATCAAACTGTCTGTACTGGGCTAGCTTGATTATCACTTCAAACGTTTTTTTCCACTTACTTAATTGGCCTCTCAGAGTTGGTAAGACAACTCCCACCTTTTCATGCTCTCTGTATGTGTATATATATCTCCTCAATATATGGTCCATTCTATGAATCCGAAGAAATGGGCTGTAGCCCACGAAAGCTTATGCTCAAATAAATTTGTTAGTCTCTAAGGTACTCCTGCTCTTTTTTCAGTGGGTTGTATTTTCCCAGCCTCAGCACGGTAAGTGTGAGAGGCCCTTCTATCACCAACGCCTTGAAGTGCAGTATTTGGTCTCTTTGACTTCAGCCCCTCCCCCTGTCTCTCTCATGGTGCCAGGAGACGTGAGAAGGATCAAAGGGCTGGGTTCCCATATGCAGCTGATATGAGTTCAGATTAACCACAGCTCCCACTACAATAGGCAGAGAGAGACTCTAGTGTCTCTAGTGTTAGCAACGAACTCACATCCCCCAGCTCAGCACCAGATGTGCATGGAGACAGAGGCTGCAGGGCCCCTGCTGGGCACAATGAGGCATGGGCCAGGCCCAGCTGTGCAGGGCTCAGGCACTGAGCATCCCCAGAAGATGCCCAAATGCACAGATTCAGCAGTGCCTGACCCGCCCCCCAGCCTACATGGGGAGGTGTCCAGAGAGCCACACAGCAGAGAGTTTGATGCTGAGGTTTCCTTCCCCCGCCCCCAGCTGTGTCTATAACTGCCCCCCGCCCCCCGGGCTGCAAGCGAAGCACCTTCTCCTTCCCTGCTCTGGTGCAGATGCTACTGCCGCTACTCCTGCTTCCCATGGCCGTTCTCCTGCCCCCCAGGGCTTGGGCTGGTGAGTATGGGGGGGAGGGACCCCTTAGGGAGCAGAGCCTGCACATGGCTCAGTGGAAGGGCCTGAGGCTGCTTCCTCAATACAGCAATCCTGGGGGTATGGAAAGGAGGCAGCTTCTCCTCACCATCTCTCCTGCCCCCGTGTGGGGTGCCCCATGGCCGAGGCGTCTGCAGGCCAGTGGGATGGGGAGCAGAGGCGTGGAAGTTGTTTCCATAGATCTGAGGGGATCCAGTCTACACTAGGGAAGCTTCCCACCAAAGAACATCAGCCACCGATTATGGGTGTGACATGCCCTGGAGGCCACATGCAGGGTAACAACCTCCTAGTGCTGCCATCTAACAGCCTCACCCCTTTAGCTCAAGGACTGTGCTCCAGGGCTGGAGTCAACCACAGAGCCTGGAGGCCATTGCATCAGCACCTTTGGGAGCCCACCCAGATTTCCAGCCCCGGGTGGAGACCGGCTCTTCCTGCACCAGTAGCCAGCACAGCAGTGCTCCGAATGCAGCTGACTCCTCTGGCCGTCTGTGCAGGACACAGCAACCTCGGGGCTGCCCTAACCTGTCTGTGCCCCAAGGGGCTATTCTGGTAGCTGGGCAGAGCTGGGCACCTCCATGGCCCTCAGGGAGGGCTGCTACCTGATTTATGAGGCGGGTGTTGCAAGGGCAGGCAGGGTCTGGAAAGACCAAAACCCCCATGACCAGTGGGCAGATCTGACCTGAGACATGTGGGGCAGGGTTTCAAGAGAGCCCCACAACCACAATGGGATTCTCTAGTGAACTCAATGTGGTGGGAGGAGATTGTCAGTGATCTCCATGTTACCTGGGTTGAGGGGACAATCCAGGAGGAGGGGGCAGGGAAACTTGGCTGGCTGGGTTGAGAGTCTGATCTGTGGCAGCAAAGGTTGAGGATGAGGATAGGGATAGAATTGGGGTCCTTGGTCAAACTCTGGAGCCTCATGTTGTCCCAAAGCAGGTGAGTTTTACCCCTCTCCCTCTCTCTGCCATTGGAGATCATCGGGGGAAGGAAAGCTGGGTGTCACTCCAGACCCTACATGGCCTTCGTGAAGATAGAGACAGGAGGATGCTGCAGAAGGTTCCTGATCTGGAATGACATGGTGGTGACAGTGGCTCATTGTCACTGCAACCTTGGGTAAGAAATGTACCATCTGCCGTCCCTGAGCCAGCCAGTCCCTGTCCTGGGGCTTGCCTCTTGTCATTTTGAGCCACTAATGGCTTGGTGCACTGTTGTGCTGGGTGCAGAATGTGTCAACAACAGATACCCTGATCTGCTGCTCCAGGAATAGTATTGTTACCTTCCTTGGTCTGAGAAGTCAGTGAGGTCTTGCAGGAGGAGAAATTGCTGGTGGCATTAGGTCTATTCTTTCATGCAGTTCTGTTTATTTACAAATTATGTCCAAAGTCCTGTTTCTCTGAATGCAGTCGGAATGAAACAACAAGTGACTCCCTCCCTCGGAATGAAACAACAAGTGACTGTTTCTTTACTCTGAGTCCCAAGCCTCTTTCAGCCAGCACTCTGCCCAAAAGCTCTCTCCTGCGGCTTAGTGCAGGGTAACAGTACCCATGCTTCTTTGGCTGTGGCTGGTGCCTTCTCTGGCTGCTTCACAGCTAAGTTTTAGTCCAGGCCTGTGTGATTGGTGACGATTCTAGTGATTCAGCTTTCTTGTTACCTAAACAAGCTTATAATGGCTTCTGTACATTGATCCTGAGAACAAGACCCACCCACTTTAAGGATGTTTATGGCCCATGACTGAATCCATTGTATTGGCCTGTCTGTGGCACCTGCATTCCCTTGTATTTCACAGCACCATCACTGTGTTGAAATAGATGAACTGGGGAGGCAGGAGATTGGGGTACATCACCGAATCCCCCACCCAGAATACAATGATGAGACAGATGAAAATGACATCATGCTGCTGCAGGTACCACACCTTTGCATCTCCCAGTGATGTCAGACTGCTACAGGTACCATCACATCACCCCCGTGACCTCAGATTGCTGCAGGTACCTCCCCCATCCCATCATCACGCCCCCAAGACCTCACACTGCTGCCAATACTGCCCCATCCCATCCCCCCCTCGCCCCAGAGAGCACATGGCATCACAGTATTGCACAGTTGTCATGGGGATGCCCCATCTGGCCCCATCCCCCCAGGACAGGATGCAGCCCCCACGAGGCGTTTGATTTCCCTTCTCTCCCCACCCCCACCCCCATCACAGCTGAGGGACAAAGCCAATCTGACCGAGACTGTGGGCACCATCCCCCTGACCTAGTGAAGGTGAGGGAGGGGGCTGTGTGCAGCAGGCCGGCTGGGGCCAGACTGTATCATCTTCAGGGAGTGTGTTTAACTTGTATTGGGGGTGTTTACCTTGTATTAGGATGTTCTGGCATGATCCTTCTGAAATCTGTTTATGTTCATACACCCCTTCTAT